TGATGGCACACACCTGTAGTCCTAGCTACTCAAGAGGCTGAGGTGTGAGGATTGACTAAACCCAGGAGTTTGAGGCTGCAGTGAGCTACAATTATGTCACTGCACTCCAGCCTGGCCAACGAAGCAAGACCTCATCTCTATAAAAAAAGAAAAAATAGGGGGGGAAGGGGGAGCAAGGGCAACATACGTAACCTAAACATCTGTACTCCCATAATATGCTGAAATAAAAAAAAATAATAATAATAAATAAATAAAAATAAAAACAACCTTGATGTTCACCTATATTGCAAGTAAAAGGAACAGGCAAGATCAATACATTAATAGGTAGATAAACCTCACCTTTTTTGGCAAATTAAAAAATGATATATTTTAAGAAATTAATAGTTATATATTAATAGGATATATAATTGAGGTTATGCCAGTGTTGGGAAGTATCATCCTTAGAATGCCAAAAGGGCTGTGATTTTGAATTCCGAGAAAAGACATGAAATCCTAGTATATCCCTTAGTCCAGCACTACATTCTATAAATGCTTTTATTGTTTTCTCCATCTTTAGAGTCAACTTACTGTATGGTTGCAGATGGAATGTAAATGTTACTAATCTTCATAATGTACAAAAGTGAAAGTAGAGCTGACAAATAATAGGATACTGAAGACGATTACAAAGTAGAGAAAAGGAAAGGAGTATGGATATCCTAATCTCTCTAGGCTCAAGCAACTCCTCCACTAATTCACCAGGTCTATGACATAAGGCAAGATATAATAATAATTATCTCCTTTTCTACAAAAGGAGGAAAATAATACAGTACACTGACTTCCCAAAGCCATCTTAAAGAGTAAAGAGATAATGCAAATAAAGCACTTGAGACAGTGTCTGGTACTAAGGACTCTTTAAATGGTGGTTATATTGAACTGTATTTTATGAGGGAAATTACTGCCATAACACCATTTAAAAATTTGAGGAAGCCAAGCATGGTGGCACACACCTACAGTCCCAGCTACTGGGGAGGCTGAGGTGGGAGAATCGCTTGAGGCCACGAATTCGAGATGTAACTAAATAAATGAATAAAAAATTTGAGGACTTTTGAAACTGCAGGACTGTCCTTAGCAAAAGTCAAATGCCAACTCGTATATATTATATATATGCCTATTCTCATGTTTTTAACTTCCAGTTATGACTTTTGCACTGAACTGGGAACTCAAGACCCCAACAGCTCAACTTGGATGTTATTAAACCACTTTCTCAAACCTAACATAGCCAAAACTAAACTTTTTACTTCCTTCATTTAATTTGTTCTTCTCTCAGTCTTTCCCATTTCAGTAAATAGCACTGTCTACTCTATTGCTTAAGCAAGGCAATTATCCCTAGTTCCTCTTTTTCTCTCAATCCTCACATCCATTACAACAGGAGGTCCTATCAGATCTATCAGCAAAGCATATCCCAAATTTTCCACTTATCGGCATTGCCACTGCTATCAAACCAACTCTAACCACCATTATATTCCTGCTTCTTCTATTGCTCCTTATAGTCCACGTTCCACAAAGCAACCACCCTACCTAAATAAAATCCTCCACCATATTTAGAATAAAATCCTATAAAATTGTTTCCACCTGCCTCCTCAACCTTATCTTTCTTAACACCTCATTCATTTTAACTCTAGCCATGCTGGCCTTCTTCAAGTTCGTCAACAAAACTAGAGCCTCTGGATTTGCTGTTTCCTCTGCTTGAATCATTCTTCACTCCTATATTTCCTTAGTATCTGCACTCATGTCACCTCACTTTCTTGACCACCCAAAATAGAGTCTCATCTTATCCTCATTTTTTCACATCACATTGGTTTAAAATCATGTTACCTGAAATGATCTAATTTGTATATCCATCTGTCTACCTCCTTCTAACATGACGGCAGAAATCTCACCCTCTAGGCAGGGTGTGTGGCT